TAATAAAATATTAAATACCTGACAATATCTGTTCAATGCTGTCTATATACTTTACTAACTTCTAATAAGGCGACTTTTTCATACAAGGATGTTAATTAAACTAATCGTTATTGCAAAACCAGTTTAGTAGGTTTGATCATGTGACAAGGATGATTTTGGGGTGTAGGAAACTGAAGCAGAGTAATTTTCCTACATTTTTTTTTGGTTTATGGAATTTAATCTCGAGATCTCGAACCCCATTTTAGCTTGACATTTGCTAGAGTCATATCCCTTGCCAATATTTCCCCGACAAACCTGACACATCCTTACTTTTGTGATCGTTGTGGTGTATTTTACAAATGCCATATCTATCATGCCATTCTTAACTGCTTCAGAAATAGCCATACAAGGGAAAGGTTTTGGGAAGAGCTCACAGCGGTTATTTCTGAGCACTTTGTATCTGCCATTATGCTATATGATGATTTCTCTTTACTGGTATTATTGTTAAGTTTATGGCTTCCAGATTCTGTAATTGACTCCACCATCAAAGTAAGATACCAAGTGTGTAGTTAGATATATTTATCTTTTAGTTAATCATCTAAGATTAGCCCCTTCTTACAAATGAAATCGTTTTGGTCTAGATCAATCGGTAGTTAATCCTCATTACCAATAGAATTGGTTGCATATGCAACAAACCACCATGTAAATATTATATAGATATATGTAAATTTTGTATATTGTTCATAATTGTACTGTAATAATGCTTTTGCACTTGTAAATCTCCATGATTGGGGGAAATAAACATATATATATATATAGTAACTTGTTAACTTTCAACCACCCTAACCTGTTATCTAGCTAGTGGCTTCTGTTATATAGTAACTTGTTACCTTTCAACCATCCTAACCTGTTATCTAGCTAGTATCTTCTGTTATATAGTAACCTGTTACCTTTCAACCATCTTCACCTGTTATCTAGCTAGTGCCTTCTGTTGGATAGTAACTTGTTACCTTTCAACCACCCTAACCTGTTATCTAGCTATTGTCTTCTGTTATATAGTAACTTGTTACCTTCCAATCGCCCTAACCTGTCATCTAGCTAGTGCCTTCTGTTATATAGTAACCTGTTATTTAGCTGGCACCTTCTGTTCTATAGTAACTTGTTACCTTTCAACCACTCTAACCTGTTATCTAGCTAGCGCCTTCTGTTATATAGTAACTTGTTACCTTTCAATCATCTTCACCTGTTATCTAGCTAGTGCCTTCTGTTATATAGTAACCTGTTATTTAGCTGGCACCTTCTGTTATATAGTAACCTGTTATCTACCCAGTGTATTCTGTTATATAGTAACTTGTTACCTTTCAACCACTCTAACCTGTTATCTAGCTAGTGCCTTCTGTTATATAGTAACTTGTTATCTTTCAACCACCCTAACCTGTTATCTAGCTAGTGTCTTCTGTTATATAGTAACTTGTTACTTTTCAACCACCCTAACCTGTTATCTAGCTAGTGTCCTCTGTTATATAGTAACTTGTTATCTTTCAACCACCCTAACCTGTTATCTAGCTAGTGTCTTCTGTTATATAGTAACTTGTTACCTTACAACCACCCTAACCTGTTATCTAGCTAGTGCCTTCTGTTATATAGTAACTTGTTACCTTTCAGCCACCATAACCTGTTATCTAGCTAGTGC